TTACATTCCCAGAGTCTAACAGTATATGCAGTAGAATCGATGCTTGTAAAATGTTTGTTGACTGAATAAATGAAAAGTTATTCTAAAGAAACAGACTCTGAGCATGCACAGAAATGGCAAAGGTGTGAGGAAGCAGATCCTTCTATTTGCTGTTGGTGACCATCTCAACCAGACCATCTCTTGGGAAGAACCAACCCAAAGTAAAAATGCACATACTGTCCTCAGCCATTTACTAACCATGCTCTCAGACCTGAAACAGTAGGAAAAGTGACACTTCTATTCACAGATGATGATCCCACACATTCTATTAGCCACTGAAAAGGACAAGGAGCTCTTGACTATCTATCCGTCTGTCTGTCTACAGACAGCAAACATTCTTGTTAGGTTACAAAGAAGAAAAAAACCAAAGTCTGAAACAGCATGCAGGTAAGCTTCCATGTGGGTACAGGGTGTGTTTGTGGGTATAGCATACTTGATGCTAACGTGTGGGTGAGACGCTTCTGGGAAGGATACACCACAAACTGCTGTCATGGCCGGCGCTGAGTGATGAGGGATGGAGGGAGGAAGGACACTGACTTGCCGTCATTTTCCCTTTGGTTCCTATCGATGGCTTAACACTGTGGTTGTACTGATATCATGGAAACAGACGTTCCTGGTTGCTGGGGGAGACGGAGGCTGCAGGCTGTTTTGTCCCCAGGGCAGGGATGCTTTGGCCCTAGCCGAGGTTGTGGATTTGATAACATTTGGTTTGGATAAAAACCGGGAAAACTCGGTGCTTGCAAATGTTCACACGAACAGAAGCACCTGGATCATTAGGATCCAAATTGTCCTATATGGGAATCAGCCCAAGGGAAAACACTCAGTGGCCAAGAAAGAAGGGTGTCTTCCAGATGTTGCCACCCCTTGTAAACAGTGTCACTGTATCTGTGTGTTCCCACCTTTGGGAGCCTGGGGACCAAGGGAAGCACAGCAGAGATAGGCTTCCTCTGTCGCTGGCCTGTGAGGTCCTGTCATTTGCAGGCAGATTCTGTGTGCTTGGCTGCTTCCATCAGGACACCTATCTACCCTTCCAGTGGGTGTGTGTGTGTGTATGTGGGCTGCCTGACCAATCTGGAGTGACTGCGAGTGCTGCATAAATCCCTTCCAAACAAAGGCAGGCCGGCCAAGGTGAAGGAAGGGAGGCAGAGGGCCAGTGCCACCTCCTTCCCTCCTCTCTACCGCAGTCTACCTGGGGGGAGTGAGGGGCGCGCCCACAGAAGGCAGTGGTGGTCAAGTTTGGAGGGGTGCAGCTGGCCCCGGTGCAAACTTTACAATTAGGAACATAGTCTTTGGTCTGATGGTTCTAGAAAATCTTTTGCAAGTGCTGCCTCTAAACAAACACCTCTGAAGTCTTGGCTGCTTACAGACCAAGAGAGAAAAAAAGGCATTTCATTTTCCATCTGCCAGGACTATTATACTTTGGCTCAGCACCCACAATTTTCAGAAGTATATTATCTGCACCTTAAAGGCACCGAGTTTATAACAGGCAATTAGGTGATAAGAACTGATGCTTCCTTGTTTTTGTAGTCAAAGAAGAAAACCCAGCTTTGGTGGTTGCTGCTACTGTGATTCTTGTTTTACATTTCACTTGAAGTGCCGAAGAAACCAACAACTGGATTCTTTGAACTGTGGTGGAACGGTCTGCCTCCACCTGGAGGGCTGAGGGGTTCAGGCTCTGACCGAGTTCACAGGGAGAAGGTAGTGAACAGGCGGATGCAATAGACCAGCAGACCAATTCAGGTGCCAAGTGGGCAGGTGGAGGGAGGCACAATAGGCAGGTGGAAGAGGGGCAAGCTCAGAGGGTCTGCCAGGCACGAGAGGGCCTGAGAAATCATATCTGAGGGCTGCCTCAGAAGCTCTCCGGGAACCAGTTCAAGGATCTAACTCCAGCCAGAGTTACTTTATGAGTTGAGTAAGAACCTTTTAAAGGAGCACAAATCATCCCCCCTATACCAACACCTTCCCTGCTGTAGAAGGTGACTATTTAATGGGCCAAATGCAGACAATTCCCTGGTGGCCTGATGGCTTCCAAGAAGAGGGCCTCAATCTTGGCCACTCACTCGAATCATCAGCAATAAAAATAGAATGCTTATGACCCTTCTCTACCCTGACCAATTACAGCAGAATCTCAGGAAAGAGTTCAACCACTGCATTTTATGAAAACTCCCTGCTTCTCAATGCCATCGGGAACGTGAACATCTGTCTGAGGAGGACAGCTTCCCTACAGAAAGATCATTTAAAATCTCTGCTAGTTATCTGTGTCTAAAACACAGGGTTTGGGGGCTGGTGCTGTGACATAGTAGGCTAAGCCTCCACCTGTGGCAACAGCACCCAATATGGGTGCTGATTCAAGTCCCTGTTGCTCCCCTTCCCATCCAGCTTTCTGCTATGGCCTGGGAGAGCAGCAGAAGATGGCCCAAGTGCTTGGGCTCCTGCACCCGCGTGGGAGACCCTGAAGCTCCTGGCTTCCTATTGGCCCTGCTCTGGCTGTCGCGGCCATTTGAGGAGCAAACCAGTGGATGGTGGATGGAGGACCTCTCTTTCTCTTTCCCTCCCCCTCTAACTCTGCCTTTCAAATAAATAGTTAAAATCTTTAAAGACAACAACAACAACAACAACAAGGTTAAGAATTAAATCCTCCAAATAAAGCCCAACCAGAACAATCATCATCTTGATGACGGGGAGCTGAGACTCCCAGTTCAGGAAGCTGACCACAGTCACAGAGCCGATTCACAGCAGCGCTGAGACCCCGCCTGTGCCTAATATGTAGCTGGAAGGAATCTTGCCGTTCAGCACAACCTTGTAGTTTGACTCATAGGACAGCCTGGGGAGAACTGTGAGGGATAAAAAGAGGCTTAATGTGTTCTTTAAGGTTTCTCAGCAAATGAGTAGCAGAGCTGAAACCAGAACCAGCATTTCCTGGCTCTCGGTACAATGTCCTCCCAGACTACTCTCCAAGGATACTTTTGTCCCATTAACCCCACACTTTTAAGTGACCTGATTATACAGAAGTACATGGCTCATAAAGAGAACACGTCATCATCCCCACCTGCCAGGCAGCGAGAATTGCATCTTATTCTATGTGTCAATTTCCTTATTGCTCCAGAGTGAACACAGTAAATGCTTGCCTTTGCACCTGGCAGCCTGGGCACAACAATGAGTCCAGGATCTGGAGACAGCCTGGGGTGTGTGTCTCTCTCCCAGTGACCATCAGCTACAGGGCCTGCAGCAAAGTTCCATCGCCTGGCTCAGGGCTGCAGTTTTTCTGGGCTACTCAGATTTGTCAGGCTGAGCAAGGGGCAGTTTTGGGTACCCAGCTGAGATCCACACAGGAAAGCTTCCTTTTTTCTCTCCCTTGTGCTGTGGGGAAGAAATTCTCAGGCATGTGGGATGCTCATGATATTTGGAATTGGAAGATGCCAAGAGACACATAAAATCTAATGTCTAAAAATAATTAATTTTATTTTATTTTACAAGTATTTAAGTACAGAGCTAGGAAAGAAGCCTTACATTAAGAAAGAGCAGGATTAAATTAGAGAAAGAGTTGGCAAATTTGTGTGTCCTGTTGTTATATCACTTGGGAAAATCCAACAGGAAAGAAAACCTACAAAATTTCTTCCCAAAGGCATTTATGGATGGTTTCTCTTGTATGTTTATGAGGATTCTGCATCTTTACACCTTGTTATAGTTTTATCTTTGCTGATGTTGTACTTCTGTGTGGGACAATAACTTAACAGAGTTAACTTTGTGCTCACCCAAAGTTAAATGAGTAACAACTCAGAACAGACTTGTGGTCAGAAAACACTGTCCTGGGTTATGAATACCAGAGAGCAAATGAAAATACTTTTTATATAAGATTTAAAAAGCCTAGAATCTACAAAGGTATGTACTATGATTACAAAAAACAGTTAAATATACATAGCTATGTATGTTTATTTGGGTGGGGGTGATGAAAGACTGAAAGGAAACTGACCGAAAGGAGTTTTTAAAAAAACGTTTTTTTCATTTATTCATTTGAAAGGAAGAGCAACAGAGAAAGAGGGAAAGACATAGGGGTCTTCCAAGTGCTGGATCAATCCCTAAATATTTGCAACAGCCTGGTCTTGGCCAGGTAGAAGCCAGGAGCCAGGAATTCCATCCTGGTCTCACACATAGGTAGCAATGGCCAGAGTACTTGGGTCATCTTTCGCTGCTTTCCCAGGTGCTAACCAGGATGCTGGATCAGAAGGGGAGCAGCCAGGACCTGAACTGGCATTCCAATATGGGATGCCTGCACTGCGAGCAGTGGCTTACCCTTCTATGCTGTAACACCCAGGCCCTCCCTCTACCCCCATAAAATCTCTACTTTCCTAACAATGGGATAAGAGTACTTTAGGGGCCATCTGTCTGTATGTGTCCCTTTTTCAAGATGGAGAAGGGAGGCAGTGAGGCATGAGTGTTTGGAACAGCAGTTAAGTGGTTAAGACTCCACTTGGAAAGTCCGCATCCCATTTTGGAGTGCCTCAGTTCCTAGCTCCACTTCCAATTCTAGCTTCCCTAATGATATGCACCTTGGTAGATAGCAGGCTGCTGGCTCTCAGCTCGGTGGTAGGGATCCACAGAACAGGAGGGGGCTCTGAAGGAACGAAGCCTGCATGCCCAGTCTTGGGAGCATTGCCTCTGACTAAAGCCCATTACTGCATAAGGAAATGCCAGTGGGGTGCAGAGAATTTTAAGAGAGAAGCCAGAAATCTATATATTTAAGTAAAATCTCCTGATTTCTCAACACCAACCATTTCAAAATAACTGGAATTGTGTATGTTTACCAGGCACACGTGGACACTCCACGTAAGGCCAAGGATTGCCATTTTGACAGCTTTCTAGGGTTTCTCAGTGTTTTCTGTTTCACATCCCAGAGCTCTCTGCCCTGTTTCCCCACCTCAAGACACTTAAAATTCAGAGAGGAAAAGGCAGGGACTTACTATGGGGCTGCTGAAGGCCACAGGAGGCTGTGAGCTTTCACGGCGTCCCACGGACTTCTGTCGGGAATGGCCCTGGATGGGCACCCGGGCACTCTGGCACCTCCTTAGAGGCTGGGCACCTCCTTGGCTTCTCAGTGTTGCTGGGCCCTGAGCCCATCTGGCTGGGAAAGACAGGCACTGGTATTGGGTCCATTCTTCACTGTCTGAGTCCAGCTCCTTTGGAGTCTCCAGTCGCTTGGCTGCAAGAAAGGAGTGTTGTTATTGCACCAGCCATACATGGGTTGGGTCATAGCTGCAGAGATCCTAGAATTCAGGGATGGGAGTGAGAACATGGAAAAGCCCACGGTGCTCTGAAAAACGGGCCACTGGGCTACCAATACTGGAGAAAGAGGGTTACAACTGGATCTCACAGGTTCGAATACTGGCTCTGCTGTTTACTGGTTGTATGACTTTGTGTTTGACTTAACTTGTACCTCTATTTCCTCAGTTCAAGGTTTTCAAAAAAGTACCTAACTTGAAAGGTTGTTTTTGAAGATTTAATGATGTGTGGTGTTAAAATGCTTAGCTTGCCCTAGGTAATGGAAGCTGTTACTATTATTAAAAAGAGATCAGAAGCTTCCATGCAAATGGTGATCTCTATGGCAAAGGGGATAGGGCTGCTTATAGTAATTCTTGCTTTTCTTTCTTCATTCCTCCAACCCCAAAGAATGAATGCTGTTGTCTTTGGAATTTCTTTTTATATTTACAAAGTGTGTGTATGGGGGTGGGGTGCAGTGGCTGAGGGAATCGGGTCAGTTTTATAGGCCACATTCAATCCCTAACTGTCCAGGCAGCTTGCAGTTCTAACTTGTAAATCAAACCTTTGCATCAGGGAAAATGCAAGACATTAATTAGCATGGAAGGTATTTTCTGGATGTGTCAATTCTGGCCACGTGCCCAGATCTAGATCTTTCTTGACATGTCAGGGAAAGTGACCTAAGAAACTCATCCTTGACTGTATAACTGGCATACAATGGGACTCCATTCTGTCTATTCCTGACATTAAAGATCCTGTATTGTAAATGGTACCAAACAAAGATCAACTGGAGGGCTACTAAACTGAAGTTCCGAGGTAAGAAGAATAGCACCAATTTGCCAAAACAAAACAAAAAGCAAACAAAAAACCACACAGAATAAAAGAAGCAAGTTACCAAAATGTCCCACACTCTCTAGGGGAGCCAGGATAATATCTTTTCTTTCCTCTCTCTTAGGAGAACAGGGCATTTGCTTTTAGAAAGAGGGGTAGAGGCCCTTCGAATGCTCATACCGTTTTCCTGGTGACAGTACTCGCTGCCCATGATGGTGCAACGCCGGAACACCATCTTGTTCTCCGTTAGGGTCCCTGTCTTGTCAGAGAAGATGTACTGGATCTGGCCCAGGTCCTCAGTGATGTTGAGGGCTCGACACTGAATGGACATATCTGCCTCTTCATCGTACAGGTCAAGGTCATTGTGCAGAAAGAACACTTGCCCAATCTTCACCAGCTCAATGGATACGTATAAAGAGATAGGGATCAGCACCTGCGGGGAGATGAGTTCAGAATCAGGTGGACCGCCCACCTTAGGATCCTCACCATTGGAGAGCAAATGTATTTAATGCAGAGCAGAGGTCAGTTCACAGGAAGGACTGTTTCTGAGAAAATAAAGATCAACAACTTCATGGCTCCCTTGGAATTCTTTGGGGAGATCTGGAAAGGAGATATGACTTCTTTAACCATATTTAGCACTCACTACTGGGTATTTAATGAGTGAGCTGGAAGCAAGTGGGGGTGGTTTAGCATCTCTGGCCAGAGTCCACTAAACCCCCTCAGATCTCTGTTGCTCCCAAGGACCACCACTCACTTTTCCCCCTCGGACCTACTGTTGATTATTTTCCACTCAATGCTTAGTGTGAAGGGCATTTTAACAGGTTATTATTCACATTTTCTTTTATTTCCACATTCACATCAATTTTTTGAAGCTCCCTCATATTTGTCAAGTATTTGCTGCATATCAGACACTGTTCTCAGTCCTGGAAATGCAAATGAGCAAAGTGAAATCCCTGATCTTGAAGAACTCACATTCCAGTGACAGTCAACAACAAACAAGTATGTATTGAAGGGTGTTAAGTCTCATGACTGCGTAAGAAAGTAAAAAAGGTGGAGAGAGATGGCTGGAAGGAACTCATATAAACCACAACCTTTGAGCGAGACATGAAGACGTGAGGGTCGGAGTGGTGAGGTTATCATGGGAGGAGCCTTCTTGGCAGAGGGAAAGGCCAGGAAAAGGTGGGGCAGGGTGGCCAGACTGGGTGTTAGAGTCAGGGCACAGGCCTTTCACATGAGTGAAGATGGGGAAGAGAGGTAGCAGCACACTTCAGGGACAAAGTCAAGGTCTAGGTCACTTCCAGCCTTGTTGGCCTGGATAAGGACTTTGATTTCACTTTGTGTTCTGTGTGGAAGAAGGCTAGGTTCTGATTCACATTTTGAAAGGATTATTCTTGGCTGGCGCCGCAGCTCACTAGGCTAATCCTCTACCTGTGGCGCCGGCACCCTGGGTTCTAGTCCTGGTTGGGGCGCCAGATTCTGTTCTGATTGCTCCTCTTCCAGTCCAGCTCTCTGCTGTGGCCCGGGAGTGCAGTGGAGGATGGCCCAAGTGCTTGGGCCCTGCACCCGCATGGGAGACCAGGAGGAAGCACCTGGCTCCTGGCTTCAGATAGGTGTAATGTGCTGGCCGTAGCGGCCATTTTGGGGGTGAACCAACGGAAAAAGGAGGACCTTTCTCTTTCTCTAACTCTGCCTGTAAAAAAAAATTAAAAGGATTATTCTGTTGGATGAATGAACAAATGAATTAAAATGGTTCACCCATCAGAGGGCAATGAAATAGCCTCAAATGCAACAAAAATCTAATGCAAGTGGAGTTTCATCACGACAAGATGATGACTTCTCTCATCCTTCCACTGACTATATTTTCCTATAGAGCATGAAGATGTTCGTCATCATCTTGTTATCCATTACTGCCTCACATTTGGTAGGGGTTCTCCATTTGCTTTTTCTCCTATACATAGCCAATTCTGTTCTTTTCCATCTCTATCAAACGCAAAAGCACTGTCCTGTGTTTTCTCTTTCTCACTGCCTGGGGCTTGAGAGTTCTCTGCAGTTCTGTGCTATTTTATCTTTTGCTCCTAAGTCATTAATGCTTTACGTGTTCTCTACTGGCAAAGGGGCAGACATACCTGGGTTACTGCTGTAATCTTACTCTCATGTGGAAAATTGGTAAATTTTTTCCACTTATTATCTGAGAGGCAAGGTCGCCTGCACAAGACAAGGCTGGTCCTGACATCATCCGCCACGCAGCTCCTTTCAAAAGCCCAGAAGAAGGCCATGACTGGCTCCTCCGCTCAGTCTGGGGAGTTCTTCACTGGGACCAGCACTGGCTTTTCTCTGTTTTGTTCACGTGTAGCGATATTGGCTACAGGTCTTCCTACCTGGAGCAGGATGATCATGGTAAGGAACATGTAGACGCCTCCCACGGCAGGGGAGAGGAAGCTGCCATCGGCATCTGGCACATCGAAAGGAGGGTGCTCTTCAAAGGTCCCATTCCAGAGGCTGTAGCCTAAGGGGAGACAAAGCCAGGCATTAGGCAGGATCTCCACTCAGTCCTCCAGCTGGTCCGCGAAACCACCCGCACCCATTGCTAGAAACGGTGTGCTTTGGAGGGGCCCATTCTTTACTCCATGCAACATGGCTGTATGTGGGCATGCTCACTTCACTCTACGGTGGTCCTTCACATGCCCTTCACTTGCATCCAGCCTGCCATACCCCAGGAGATTACCCAGAGCATGACTTACGTTGTGATGCTGGGTTTGAAAAGAGAGAAAGGGACATGCGTCCTTCTCAGTGGTGTGGCGCATCGTGCGTGGCTGGGGAGTCTTGAAAGACCCCGTCCCATGATCGCCATTCTCTTTCCTCTGTAGCTGCCTCTCTCTCTGTTTACCCATTCCTCCTCCCTTTATGAACACTTGTTCATTCTAGGAGGAGTCTAGATTCTTGTCTCCGTTCCTTACCAAATCATGGAGCTGCACACACAAGGACGAATCACACAGGGCCTGAGCGGTGCTAGGCCAGAGCCCGCATTGCCATGAGGGCCGTGGCAGCGGCACGGGATGCAGACTCAACCCTCGTTCCTCACGTGCAAAGGGGAGAACGACACCACTGACCGAAGGGAATGCACGATGAAGTGCATCCAGTACCTGCTCCAGAGCGCTGGAGCCCAGCCTCCCCGTCCACTAGTCAGACACAGGGTCTTCCCGAAGGGATCATTGTGAGACTAGAACCACCAGATGCACAGCACACTGTCAGCTGCAGGACAGGAACTAGAGGGAATATGAGGCACAAGGAACGCTTCCCTGCCCCACGACACTTCTGCACCCAGGAGGTCGGGCCTGATGTCACCATGTGTGGCAGGAAGAGAGAGACTTAAAGCCATGAGAGCGGGGGAGGGGGAGAGGGAGGGGGAGTTGTTGTTGTTGTTGTTGTAAAAATGTCTTCAGAACTCAGCAAGACACTCCTTCCAGAACCGCACCCCTCCAGGCCTGTGCTTTCATCGGGCACGGACAGAGTCCTGTGGGGTGTGTGGGCTGTTGTGCTCAGACACAAGAGAATTCTTCCCCTTTCCATTAACTTTCTGCATTTACTTATTATTCCGGGGAATCTGCCAAGCTGTTTTGCCTGTACCTTATCTTGCTGTTACCTTGGAACCATTTAATTTCCTTTCTCTGAAGACGCAATGTGAAGCTCTCAAAGAGCCTTTTCCCTCTGACATAGCCTGAAACACCCGTTCCAAAGCCGAGACAACAGTTCCTGCAGCCTGTCTGGGGGCAGAGGTGGACCATGGGTGGGCCGCTGTGGTGCGGGTGACTGTGTGCTTTGACTGTCTGCTTCTTTCTTTCCCCAGGAGTTCTCCTTTCAGCCACAAACCCAGGACTGCAGGGCCCCACTAGGAGCTGAAGAGACAAGGACTAGTTTCTCTCCTTAGAGTCCCCAGGGGGAGCCAGAGCTGCCCATACCTTGACTTTAACCCCAGTGAAACTGACTTTGGACTTTGAACCTGCAAGGCTGTCACAGAATAAATGTGTGTTGTTTTGAACCTGAAGTGTGGGTTTTTAGACGGCAGCAGCAGTGGGAAGCTAACAAAGTAAGTGCGTGCTGCCTCCCTCAGCGCCGCCGACTGCATTACTGGTTTTGTTTACAGGTTGCTAGTCAGGGAGGAGAGGTCCCGGGACTGATTCATGCTGCAGTCCTCTGGGCTTCTGGGAGTATTTCTCAAGCACACACAGTGTGGGTGATATCCATGCTATTTAAAGACTTCATTTGTATTTTCATTTCATTGGCATCTTCTTAAGTAGGCAGGATAGCCCCAGTTTGTAGAAGAGCAAAGTGAAGCTCAGGGAATGAACGCAATTTAGCCCTTCCCCCAACCCCCATACAAGATGGTTCTGTTGTTCTTTCCAGAATATTCCATACCTACAGCTCCAACAAGGCACATGAGGATGAGAAAGCCGATGCAGAAGAAGATGTCTGTGTTGATGCGCCGCTCAATCTTGCTTCGCTTGTACCGCGGGCCGCTGTTGTTGAGCAGGGCTTTTGTCTCATGGCCTTTGAGAGAAAATGAGGACATGAGTCCCTTGGCCCCAGACTCTACCCTTGGCTCTTCTCGCAGGAGCTTAAGATAGAAGTGAGGCTTCCTTCTCTAACGTGCACCTGCCTCGGGGAGGCTGTGGGAACAGCTTGGGGGCGGGGCTGGCCTGCGTCAGCACTAGCTACCCTGGCCGCGCCAGTACACAAAGGGAAACCTTCATTATAGGTGGCCACAGGCCTGCAAGTGTATGAGGACATGTTTCTGGCTAAGGAGAGCACGTGGTCTTTAGGAAGGAACACCCTTCTGATTTGCACAGAGGTGCTGTTCTGGCTGGTGGTAGATACACGGGGAAGACAGAGGATTCACGCAAGCAAACCAACAGGTATAGTTATTAGTAAGTGCCATAAAATAAATAATAAACACATGGGCTAAGGTAGATGAGAGGTAGAGTTAGAGCACATAGCCAGGGAAAGCTGCTCAGTGGAGGTAACATTTAAAAGAGGTCTGAAGGGAGAAAGGAGAGATTTAGGGAGGGGGAACTGTATGTGCAAAAGCCCTGGGGTAGGATAGTGCTTGGTGTCTGCCATTTCCATCCTTGTGTCATTGGTTGTGCTCAAGGCACTGGTGTTGCCTGTGCAAGTGTAGCAGGGACCAAAGTTTCCTACCCAGCACTAGCTCTACTCCTATGCTGGCATTCTGCGTAAAATTTTGTTCCAAGAAAGGATGGCAAAGATCGAAAACTACCAATCTCTTCTTGTCAGCAACTTTATCCGTCAGGGAAACTGAGGACCAGTGATTGGAAGGGACCTACCCAACCGCAAAGAATAAATTAACATCAGAGCTACAGGGGGAAGCCAAGGCCACAGGGCTAAGAACTGAGAGTCAAGCAGAGACATTTTCTTCAGACACAGTCTCTCCCTTGGGGCTGCTGTATTTTAATTATCATGCTGTACAGCCAAATTAAAAAATGCCAGCTACATATTTTCCCCTACAAAAATAAAGAAAACCAATACATCAGCTCCAGAAGCAAAGGGCTTTAATGCTGATTAGCTGGTTGCCTTGTGGATTTAAAGTAGCAACAAAACAGTGGGAGTGAACAAACTCTAGGCTTATTAAATTAGACTCAAGTCAGTACAGTTGATAGGGGCTCCTGCAGCCTGACGAGTGTGCGCCAGCTATGCTGATGGCATAGCAGGCTTCCTGCCTGCCTCGAGCTCACCCCATACAGGGCCCATCCTGGGCCCATCCCCTCTACCCACTTGCCCCCTGCCTTCTGGGATTCCTCTGCTCTCTAGCAACAGTTGAGTTCAACAGGGAGCAGCATGATTCTACGTGGGCTGTAGAACCAGACAGAGCTCACCTCTGCAGATACTTGACCTTGGGTCACATAGAGTTCATCTCAGGAAAAATACAACCTTGGATGAATGAATCCAGCCTCCTTGGTAAAATGGGAGCTAACGGTTGTGTGTACGTTTGGGTGTGGGGGAGTGGGTCGATATACACCAAGTATATATTGTGTACCCTGGTACACAATAGGGGCTCAGAAGTGTTTGAAGTGGGGAGCCCAGAGCTGCACAGTGCGTTTCTTCCTTCTGGAAAGCCCCTCAAGGGCTTTTTGGGCCTTTGATGCTGCGTCCTCCTTTATGGCCACGGATAATATCAACGGAGAGAAGCTAACTAACTCTGGACTGACTGTTCTCAAGCAGGGGTGATTGCTACTTTTCCGGGGACACCTGGCAGTGTTGTGAGAATTTTTTGGCTTCGTCAGCCTGGAGGTGGGGCAGATGCATCTGGCGGTTCGAGGCCTGGGATGCTGCTAAGCATCCTGCAGGACTGCCCCTGCCACAAGAAAACCCTTTGCTTCAGGGCTGAGCAGTCCTGCTCCGGCTAATACCCCTTCAACACTCAGGGTCATTTTATCCTTTTTTTATTCTTCGGGAAAGTTAATTCATTTCAAGTTCTTTTCACGGATGCTCTTAGTGGAACAGTATCACCCCATGATGTGGGGACTATTCAGGCCTTTGGCACTAAACATTTAACTAGCTTGCTCAGGGACACACAGGAGTGTGTTTCACCTCCAGGCAGCTGGTCTACCCAGAGCCACCATTCACGTTAGCATGCTCTCCAAATTTGTCCCCTCTTGAAGCGCTCCTGTAGTTTAGGGTTTTTGTTATCTACTCAGGCAGAGAAGCCAAACTCTAAATGCACGTGGGTTATTTTTTTCCTTTGGGGGACAGACTGCTGGGAATCCCATATGTAGGATGTCGGCCAGACGGCACTGGATTCCATTGCTAAAGACCCGGGAAAGAAGTTACCTGAACTGACAAACACAACCCCCTTTCCCAAATTAGGAAAAGCTAGCTAGATTGTGGAGTATTTATAACAAGTCTTGCTTGTCTCTGATAATCCTAAGATGTGAATTAGGATAGCCAGATATTTAAGTGCCTCTGTTATATTCACCAAAAATAGAGTTCTATTTAGACCAAAACCAACTAAACCAAACCAAAAATATCCCCAAGTGTGGCAGTGAACAGCAGACGAGAAAGAAGCCTCTTCTGGAGTCTTCCAGTGAGGTAGATGCTCCAGGGAGACCACGGAAGGTGCCTGGAGTGACTCAGGGAACAGCCAGTGTTACTGAGCACCCGAGCTGACGGCTCGGTCATGCAGTGGCCCTGCGAGATTTTACATTTTGTTGTGAGAAAGCTACTGTCCCCTTTTTTACATTGGGGACAGAATCAAAGTAGAAAGGGGACATAGACCCTTATATCTGGACGTAGAAATGAATAAATAACAAAACCAGGAGCTAAAACCCATTGAGCCCTCACTTTCCTGGAGACACTGCTGGGTGCCTTTCATATGTTAATGCTGTTTGATCCTCAAAAATGCTCCGTGAGACACTTACAGATATTCTTCCCATTGTACCGGTGAGGAAATGCAGGCACACAAGGTCAAGTTGCTTGGTAAGGCTAATCCAGAGGTTCAACAGGACACTCCTCAGGCTGCCTTTTGTCAGGGTCTCCAACCCCCTGGGGGGATGCATGCGAATCCCTCTCCTGTCTGGTTCAGAGGCGTGAGCTACACGCGGACACTCGAGCTGCTATGATCCGCAGCCTCCTCTGTCTAGATGACGCGTGGGAAGTCACAGGACTCCAGCCCTTTGCTCTGTTCTGAGTCCGCCCTGGCTGAAGGGAGGTTCCGGGGAGGGCGTGGAGGAGGAAGGAAGAAGGGCAGTTGGGACGGAAGACACCGCTAAGGGACAATGACCTGCGTAGATGACGATGCCAACAGCCACCTCTGTGTTTCTGATGGTGCAGCCTCGAAGCAGAAGACTCTCACTGCCAAAGCCAGTCCTGGTTTGGTCGGGGTGCTCCCTGGGGAGGATGAAGGGAAGACAGGGGCTGGTTGGTGGCGCTGGTTGATGTCACAGAAGCAGAAGTGGTGAACAGACTATCTTTTTCAGAAGAGCAAGAGTAACTGGGAATCAAATCTCCTTCATGTTCAAGTGTATCTTTTTATTGGCTGGTTTATTAGAAGGCAACTGTCCACCCTGAGGAAATCATCATCTACCCCCCACAAAAGACAGAACTCTGACCCCAAACCCACACTCCAGTTAGTTTTAGGGCAAGTGTAGGGGAACTGGCTTCTTTCCCTGGCTTCTTTCCCTGCAAGGATGGGGTCCCTGTAGGCAGCATTCGCGTGCCCATTCTCACCCAGCTGTTAGGGACCAGCACTGCAAAGCTAAGTTCCTAGTAGACACCAGATACTCCTGATTTTTGCTTCACAAGACAGGTGATGGAGGGGAGGAGATGAGGGCAAAAAGGGCAGGCCAGGGTGCTTCTGTATTACCGTGCACTTGTTCAGGCTGCTGCAAAAACAAACAGACCTCACAGGAGGTGGGCTGGGGCCCTTTGCCCAGTTTCGGAGGCAGCTTCTTAGACTGTAAGTTCTCTCTTCTTCCAGCCTTGGGGAGCACTGTGGTTTTCCACCTCATGTCACAGACTTCTGAGTTCCAATGACTCTGGTTACTACCTGGGGTCGGGCCCTTCTTCTTTTTTTCAATCAGCAACTTTAATTATAAAAATCTTTCATGTTCTCAAAAACTTCACTTTGAAAATTTATTTATTTATTGAAAAAGAGAGTGACAGAGTGAGGGAGAGACAGAAAATGAAATCTTCCTTCCACTAGTTGCCTTCCCAATCTGTAATAGCTAGGGCTGCACCAGGTCCAAGCTAGGAGCCATAAACTCCATCCAGGTGTTCCACAAAGGTGGCAGGAACCCAAGGACATGGGCAATTATCTGCTGCATCCCAGGCATATTAGCAGGGAGCTGAATCAGTGTGGTGGAGTAGGTGGGACTTGAGCTGGAGCTTGGGTTGCCATCATCCCACACAGTGGATAACCCATGGCACCACAGCACCTGCTCCATTTTGCCTTTATTCTATCTGATACCTTTGCCTTGGTATTTTCAGCAAGTTTAAATACAATTTCCTGAAAACATTGGGAACAACAGAAAAATAAGAATCTGAATCCTTCGAGTGTTTTCTCCTTGCTTCATTTCTCTAGCTCTAGTACAAAGTGTTTCATGTGTTGACTTACTGAATCTTCATGGCGACTTTAAAACATGTGATACTGTCATACCCACTTTATATATGGGAAAACCAAGGCTACTTCATAGCATTAGTAATTTGCAGAATGGGGGTTCAAACCTAGGGATTCCAGCCCCAGAGTGAGCTGCCTCTCACTGTGTCTTTGAATGCTACTGGTTCCTTACTATGTTTATAAACTACATGTCCTGACAGTTTACTTGAGTCTTAGCTATGAGGCCTCAGCAGGGTGATTATCCTCACTTGTAAAGAAAGCTGAAGCTCAGATTTGCCCAAGCTCACACACCTAGTAACTGGGACATTCTGGAACACGGGAATCCAGGTCGGTGACACCAACGCTACTGTGTCTTTCAGCACCTGAGCGTTCCTGAAGTCCCGCCCTCTGAATCACTGATGCTGGATCAAGCAGCCATTCCCATTTTGAACTCTGGGGAGCCTGTGAGCTGGGAATCCTCATTTCGAGCTGGTGTATTTCTCACCACGCTTTCTAACACAGAGGTGGCTATGGTAGGTAATGCTCAGTAGTTAGAACACAATGAAAAATTTTACGAGGACTTTCTCTCGTAGGCAGTACTGGTTTTCTACAGGGCCAGTGACAGAAACTTCCTTTTGAAATAAATTTAAGAAAGGAAGTAAGATGATTAGCAATGTAATGGATGAAAATAATGAGTAGGCTAGAAATCAAAAGGTGTTGCAGGGACTGGCAAATAGGATTCACCACTGCACTCTCCTTTATCAAGCAGGGGATGGTGTGTTTGGGGCTAACGTATCTGCCAAGTGTCACAGTCAGTACCTTGTGGTGTAAGGATTGTTTTTAGGATGCTCTGAGATGGTAACCTACAATGGAGGCTTCCACTTCTCCCAGTTTCCATGGGAGATGGGAGAGAAGGATGAGCTGTCTCTTAGCTCCCATCCCATTCAGTGCTCTTGTTTGCAAGGATGCTCTGACTCCAGTCTTGGCACTAGTGACATTCAGGGTGGCTAAGTCTCTGTTGTGGGGGGTGTTTTGTCTGTTGGAGGATGCTGAGTGCGCAGTAGCATCCCTGCCCTCCATTCAGGAGATGTTGGCAGCACTCCTCTCCTGTTGGGACACTGCCCAATGTCCCATGTTCAGGAAGGCTGGGATTGTCCCTGGTTCAGAGAATCACTGCTCTCTAAAGACCCTCTGATGCATTTATAGGGTGGACATTTAGCATGGCGGTTATAATGCCAGCATCCTGTATCAGAGGACCCGGGTGTGGTCCCTGGCTCCAGTTCCTGTCTCCAGGTTCCTGCTAATGCGGATCCTGGAAAGCAGCAGTGATGGCTCAAGTTGCTGCTCACTGGAGCGGGTGACATCCAGATGCCTGCCTCAAAGTCCTCTTCTCTCACACTCTTTTCTAGTTGTTTCTAGCTGCTTTTCCTCTGCATTTAGGAAGTAATTTGCTTTTAAAAGCTATTGACTCTCCTGTATTGTTCTTACTCTTTCCTCTCTTGAATTCTTCCTCAGGACACCCTATATGGCCCTAGCAAAGCCTTTGTTAGCCTCAATCCTGAATCGGTTGGGAGAGTGGTTGGCACAGCATGGCTCAGCTCTGCCTTGCACAGCACTGGAAAACATACTGCAGTTGGAGTCAGAAGACCCCCGTTTAAACATCCTGGCTTCATCTTGTCCCTGCTGTCTGACTTTGGGTGACTCCTGTTTGCAGGATGGAAGGCCCATTCCCTATCTGAGAAACAGGGATCATGACAGCTGCTCCCTTGGGTGGCTGTGAAGATTACAGGAGAGGGTATTCTGCGAAGGTTCTCTAAAACTCATCAGAGCACCAGGCAAGGGCACTGCTGTGCATCCGTTACTGTTGCTTCTACTTTGAAGAAACACCAGCAGTCCAATATGGGATCAGAATTACGCTACCATCTTTAGGGCAAACCAAAATTGAGGAGTAAGAATCACAGTAACTGGGGGCAGGTGCTGTAGCATAGTAGGCTAGGCCGCCGCCTGCAGTGTTGGCATCCCACATGGGCGCCGGTTCCAGTCCCAGCTGCTCTTCTTCCAATCCAGCTCTCTGCTATGGCCTGGGAAAGCAATGGAAGATGAAGTACTTGGACTTCTGCACCCATGTGGGAGACCCAGAAGGAGCTCCTGTCCTGGCTTCAGATTGGTTCAGCTCTGGTGTTTGTGGCCATTTGGGGAATGAACCAGCGGAAGACTTTTCTCTTGTCCTTCCCTCCCTGTCTGTAATTCTAACTCTCAAATAAATAATTTTTTTAAATAATCACAATAATTACAGCGGCAGCAGCCACTATACACTGAGTACTTACCTGTTGCTGTGGCAAGAGGTTTGTCTATGAAAAACTACTTAATTTTTAGAAAAAAAAATCCTATGATATGGAGAGTAGAATTTGTATTTCACAGATGTACAAAACAAAGGCCAGAGAAGTTCATGCATTTACCCAAGCTCACTCAGCTGATGACTGGGAGAACTCCAGTTCAAATCCGGGTCCAACTGCAAAGTGCTTCTGCTCTGTTCTTACCAACAGTGCAATACACATACTTTTAGAAAATCCTGTCTTCACCAAACCAGATTTGCTCCCCTGACTCAGGGCATGATCTCGATCTAGAAAAGTCACTAGCACATTTAACCATGGCAGACGATTCATTCTTTGTGTCCAACTTAGCTGTCCTGAGTCGGTCTTTGTGATAGAAAGAACCAGTCTCCCAGGATCCAGCTGCTTATCTGTTTGCCTATTTTCTGGCTGCAGAAGAGGTGTTCTCCAGCGGACAGGGCCATTGCATACTTACATGTAGCCCTTGAACTTGTTGAGGTGGTTGTTGGGTTTCTCACACACGATGGTGTTGTGGAAATGCTCCGGCTGGAAGTGCACCTCCTATGGGAGACAGAGGACTCCGTGAAGTTATTAAGTCCGAGGGATCTGCTCATAATAGGATCAAGAGGGAGCTAATCACTACTAGAACCATTGAAATAAGGTAATCCTGCTTCGTCACCTGATGGTAGCTGTACCGTATCAGAAGCAGAGTTAAATCCTTATTGAAGAGGAGAAAGTGGATGCAAACGGCAAACCAGTTACAGCGAACGGGCAGGTGCGGCTCTGCCCGCCCTTCTCTGGCAGGGTGGGGTTTGAGCCCCCAGCACAGTGCTGTGCAGTCGGGGGCCTGTCCTGAGTCTGTGTTGTCTAGTCTGCAAGCCACTAAGGACTTGTGGCTATTGAGCATTTGAAATGTGGTAATTTGATTGAGGGAATTGCTTCCCTCTTTTAGTCTCTTAATAATTTTATTTATTTTTGATAGTTAACAGATGATAATTGTACCCATGAATGGGATACAGTTTGATAATTCAATGTATGTATGCAATGTGTGCTGATCAAATCAGGTTGATAAGCATTTCCATTTCCTTGTCATTTATGTTCAGTGCCTTGGAGTTCCTCTCTTCTGGTTCTTCATCACATGTGTAATGGGTGATTGTACACTGTATCACCCCGAGGTGCTGTAGAACATGAGAACGTACTGTTCCTGATCATGTTTGGCACCCATTTGCAACCTCCCTCCATCCCCTACTCTTCCTAGTCTTTAGTCATTACTAGAAGAGTTGGCTTTTAAATGTAATTAATTTAAAGTGAAGTAGCTCCATATGGTTAGTGGTTACCACAGTAGGTAGAACAGGATTATAAGTTACTGCTACATATAGAGATAGCCACAGCCCATATGCTTGTGTATATATTTCTAAGGTTTAAAAAAAAATGAGATTGTGTGACCCATATATCTTGAACTTTAATTTTGAAAGATCCATTTGAAAGGCAGAGTGATGGGAAACAGATAAAAAGAGAGGGAGAGGTTTTCCATCTGAAGGTTCACTCCCTAGATAACCACAACCGCCAGACTGAGTCAGGTGGAAGCCAGAAGCCCAGAACTCTGAGTCTCCCCATGGGTGGAAATGGCTCATGCACTTGGGCCATCATACCCTGTCTTCCTGGGCACATTAGCAGGAAGCTGAATCAGAGGTGGAGCAAACAGGCCCTCCAATTGGCATTCTGATGCAGATGGGGTTGTGTCCCAAGCAGTGCTTTAATCCATTGTGCCACAGTGCCCACTCCTATCTTTGACATTTTTACATGCTATTAAATTTGTCCTACTTCTTTAACACCAATCGCATGAAGGTACCATGGGTCAATTAACCATTTTACTAGTGAATATTCATTCTCACTGTTTGAATTTGTTTTCCTGTTGTAAAAATGTCATAAAAACAGTACCTACTAAAACAAACTGAATAGCATTCATTGGACTCTCATTTCTGCCCGACACTGTGATAGCTTCACGCACGCTAATTTCTGTATGCAGTTATTCATTGAAGCAGGTGCTTCACATATCCTCTGTCTGAGGACGGGAAACCTGTGATTCAGAGGGTAAGCTGGGCTGGGATTGGAATCCAAGTCTACCTGCAGACCCTCTATTCCTCACTCACATAGCACCCTGCCTCCTGGGGAACAATCTGGTAGCTACATTAGAGAGTACTTGAAAAAGTTCATAGAAAATGTCGATTATGAAAAAGCTACATATGAATTTCAAAACTTTTTTGCACCCAAATAAACTTAGCTTTCAATTTCAGTTTTCATGTAAGCACCTTCATATTTTAAACACAACCTTGGCTCTACTTTTTTGTTTAAGTTGCATAAGTTCTTACAGTGAATTGGGGTGAAATGCAGCTACAGGGACAGAGGACGTCCTCTCTAACTTTACTCCTCCTTGACTAGTACTACGCTCAACTCTGAAGCCTCACTTCACTTTCTTCACTTGTGGAATGAGGCTAACTCCACCTGCCCTGCCCATCTCAACTGTGCATCAGAACACAGAATCCAAGTGGGGACGTTGTGAGATGTGTGACCAGCTATGCAAATAGAGGGTAGCAGAACTAAAGGTGGGCTGGAAATGGTTTCCTGGGCAGAGCTTTTAGCACTGGGAGTGAATTTATCACTGAAAGCTGCAAGGTACAGCTGTTCAAAGGGGTAAATTGATTTGAAGAAATGATAGCATTTTCTGGCTCCGTGTAAATACACTGTCCATCGCATCTGTGGGGGTGCAAACATAAATAAACCCTCGACTCACTTGAAATAAATTACCCATCCAGGAGTTTCTAAAAATACGGCCCTTTTCTCTCTAGGTATCGATTCTTTCAGGGACAAACACTTGCCGAGTTCTGAAATGATGACAAATCACACTGTAATTTGTCGGCTCCTCTCAGGACCCTGATGAAGCCGTGTGCTCCACTCCTGAGCCTTAACTCAGCTCAGGGCTGGGTTTCTAAATCCAAAGTCATTCCAGATATGAGTGGCAGAGGGGGCCTGAGATCATCAACTGAGCTAATGGTCCTACTGTGGCGACTCCCGAGTCCCTGTTGTCTGGTGGATCCCACGGCATGGATGGCAGCCGTGGTGACGTCTTCCTCTCTTGTCAGCAACCTTCCTCCTGCAATGCCCATTCCCAGGTTCCATGTTCTTCTTTCCTTCCGGGCACTGGCTGCATGTCCTTTGTCTGGAGGACATATCAGAGGATATTTGTCCATTTTTCTTGGAGGGGTGATCTTGCTCTTTCCAGCCACCTCCTGTGGGCTCCTCTCCAACCCTCCACCCAGAGGGTCTGTGGAGAGGGGGCCACATGGGTCCTGTTGTCTCCACAGATGACTACTTGGGCCAGCTTGCTGTCACTCATTCAGGGGAAGCTGCTGGGATAGCCCAAGGTCAAGGGAATTGCCCAACCTTACTAATCTGCCAGGGTCCTTATTTTAACCTCACTCAGAGGTTTCTGATTCCCTTCAGAGACAGGTTAAGACTCCCTCACCATCCTATAGTTGTCTTAGCTTATGGATGAAGCTCACCTAGCTGACTTTTACTTTTTGATCCAAACTTTCATGTAAGGCACTGCTCTGTGATCAAAGTCCTATTTATTGGACAAATGCCTAGGGAGCACTCAAGAGACAGGAAGAGGTGAGCTCTTGCCAAAGTAGAGAGTGTGTGTCTCTTCAGCTAGATCTGCCTATCTGGAGCACTTTGTACGTGCCAGGCATGTGTCATTAAGGTCTTCTGGAGAATGCAGTATAGCAAGTGTCTCACTGCTGGCAAGTAACAGAGCCAGGATTGCAACTCACATCACTGGAATCCGATCATCATGGTCATCATCAGCACTCATCACCTTTATTCCTCCTCCTCCTGTCATTAATATCGTTGCTGCAACATTTGCTGGGTGTTGATTAGATACCAAGCACCAACTATTTCATTAATGTCATCTCCTTTAATTCTCACAATAGCTCCATCAGGTAGGCACCGTTATTATCTCTATTGTTAGATGGAAGAATGAAGGCTTCGAGAGAATCATGATTTCCCAAGTGCCATACAGCAGACAGCCTTTCACTGCAGGCTCGCTCACTCTGGAAGAGGCAGCTCGAGGCAGCTCTCAGAAGCACAGAGCTGTTTGGTTGCCCAGGCAGAAGGCCAGCATTTCTCCCCGTGGTCCTGTTTCCCTTTCTTTGTTCAATTCCTACTTTCCGTGAATCAAGTAACTGAGATGATAAATGAATTTATTCCCTAATATGAAGCAGAAAATACATAAACATGCTACAGCTGATGAGCAATGTCGGATTACTTTTTCCAAATATATTTGCATTTTAAAGTAGGGTCCCTACAAAGGGTAAGGGTTTTTAACTGCCTGGACAACATTCTTTTGAGGATCTTATATTTAATTTTTTTTAACATATAAAAGGTTTTATTTTTTTACCACCTCCTCTATGCAGCCCACTCAAACCAATCCCCATAGACCTTTGTATCAATCAGATAGCACTACTCTTTTTTTTTTTTTTTTTTATGTGCTTCTGCTCAACACTGCTTGTTCCTCCATTTAACACTTCTGTGTCTGGATCTATTCATCCTCCAGTAAACTGTCAGCTTCCTAAGTTCCTGTAACACCTGTTTTAATGGGCATACCATAAAGAGTCGTTGAGGTCAAGTTAATACTGGATATGGTTACATTAGGAATGTAGGTACTGAACGGAGAGACAGGAAGCTGTGTAGACTGCTACACAAAGCTGTAAAAGACTGAGTCACACAATCAGAGAAGGCGTCAGGTACATTCTTAGCTTTGTTTGGTGGAAATAAGTCGTTGATTGTATGAGAATTCTTGGGTGCACCTTGTAAGACTGCAGGCAAAGCCCTAGATGCCAGCTCAGGCCAGCCTAGTCTCCCATTCATTCATGCTTGCACACACTCATTCATTTCTGAATACCTGTGATATATGAACCATAGGGGAAAGAGAGAGAGAGAGAGTCAGAGGGAAGAAGGGGGATATTGACACAAATCAGTTATGGCAGCCATAAAATGAGTTCCCAGTTTAGTTCAGGTGTGTGGATGGCGGTTATCTTTGAAAGCAAAAGAAAAGTGGGCCAAAGGCCAGTGGGTAATAACTCCCTGGGGTTGAGGTACTCCTTACTGACCTGTGTTTCTGATACAGCAGCCTGCCACTTCCCAGGGAGACTGGGGAGGCCAAGATGGAGTAATCACCTTAAAATACATTCCAGTAGCTAGAAAAGGCCATTTCCCTTGCAGTTGTCTCAAGTTTTATTTTTCTAAGCTTCAAAACTGTGATATCAAAGGGATCCATCAATGTAGTTGAGTCAGCGTCGGAGTGATCTTCTCTAATGGTTTGCCATGGATCCCAGTGTCCTGGCTGCCCACCCGCCACTCCACACTTCATGCACAACTCTCCGATTTCCTTTTCAGAAATTATCTTTCCTTCCTGGTTCAGAATCTTGACTGGCATGTAAGGCAAGACACCCTGCCTAGTGGATTCTCCCACTGTGGGGCTTTGACTTGAATGCAATGAC